AAGCAGCCGCTCCTCCGAGGGGCTTGCTGTCTGTCGGCCTCGTCATCGACGACTTGATAGTGTTGCAAAGGTGCCTCGCTTCGCAGCTCAGGTTCTTTGCTGAGAACCCAGGTAGGTCGGAAGCCTCCACACGACTGCGAAGGGCGCTGGCTGGTTACGACTCAGCGCGGCTCAGGTACAGTGACAAGAAGACGTTTGAGGACAAGACCCAGGCTTCCTTTTGGGGGGTCGACTGTTGCGGAGTCTCCGGACTCATTCGAGCCAACCCTGCTCGGTACTGGCCCTTGGTGCTGATAACCGTGCGAGTGCTTCAGTTGGGTCTTGCCACCAGGAGTTTGCTTGAAAGCCTGCTCGGCTCTTGGGTTTCGGTCTTCATGTTGCGCCGGCGCATGCTCAGTTTGGTGGAGTTGTGCTTCGCTGCTGTGCGCGGTGGGACGGCTCAGTCGATCCTCCGCTTGAGCCCTGAGCTGAAAGCTGAGCTTGCTTCCTTCGTGTGCTTGGGCCACCTGGCAGTGGTTGACTTGCGAGCCCAGCCGCTCACTACTGTCATTGCCTCTGATGCTTCAAGCTCCTGGCAGGCAGCGGTCTCGGCTGAAGTTGCTCAGCCCGTCGTTGAGGAGTTTCAGCGACACTCGCTTCAACGAGGCGCGTGGACAAAGCTGCTCGCACCGCCCAGTGCTTGGCTCAAGGAGCACAACCTCCTGCAGCCCGAGGCCGAGCTTCCGGGTGACTTCGAGTTCGTTGCAAACCCCGTCGCCGAGTGCCTTGCTAGAGTCCCGCAGTACAAGACTCGTTGGCGGCGCCAGTACACACGTCGTATGCATATCAACGTCGCCGAGCTCGGCGCATACCTTCACGAGGAGGCCAGGTTAGCCGGTAGGGTGCTGTCTGGTCGTCCCCTTTGCGCTCTCGACTCTCAAGTTTGCCTCGGCGCGTTGGTGAAAGGAAGATCGGCCTCGTGGATTTTGAACCGCAGGCTGCGCGCATCGCTTGCCCCGCTTTTGGGCTCGCGGCTTTTTCCTTCTTTTCTGTTCTTCCCTTCGGCTCTCAACCCAGCCGACGACCCGACCAGACATGCAGAGGTACGTGCTCCCTCCATGCCGAAGCCTGCTTGGTGGACTTCGCTTGAAACGGGCGAGGTTGGGCCGTTTGAAGCTTTTCTTGCTGCTCTGCCGCCCAAGGTTCAAGGTCCGGAGGCTTTTGAGCAGGACGACCTGCTTCTGCTTGGCGGGTCGAGGCCGGCCGTGGTCCAGTCGAACAGAGAGAGAGGTCTTTCGAGTGTGCTGGTTCGGTCCCGGAGGCGCGCCAACAGGTCAGAGGTCTCCAGGCCCAAGTTCGTGCAGCAAGCGGTGTGCTACA